TATGTTAAAATCTTATACCATATAGTTTCAAATATTTTTCTCTCAATATGAAATTTGCCTATGCATTGGTAAAGTGTTTTTTAAAATCATTTGGTTTTTCTACATCTGTAATGAACAATCACATCAAGAAATTAAGAAAGCAATTATTTTGCAATGTTATTTAAGTCAACACACTGTCCAAGAGTAAATTTAACCAAGGGATTATACCTATGGAATCTATATATTTTCATTTACATTCTGAACAAAATTTCATAAAAATATATTTTTATCAGCAAACTCCTTGAGTGCCAGCTAAAAGGACTTAGTTCAATAATAAAGTAACTTGGGAAAGGAGGTATTCCCCAGGGCATACACTATTTCTTATTAAAGAAAACCATTTGTTCAAAATTCAAGCATGTTTTGGAAAGTGGCTAAACTCTGTTTCAATAAGAGTGTATTGTTTAACTATAGGCTTAGCTATCATTTTTTTTCATCTATATATTTACTCAGCCAATGAAGGTAAGCACAAAATTTACTTTAATCAGAATATAATTTACTATTTATTTCTTCTTAGGCATGTCAATGTTTTAGTAATTAGTATAGAATATTCACTTTTAGAAAATAAAATGAATTTTTACTTTCAAAAAAATATGTCAAGCTCAGCTAAAAACTGCTCAGCTATTATAAATTTCAAATACAGAGAAGTACAAGAAGGTAGCATAATGAATGAATATTTCAAATGGATTTGCCTTACTAGTATCAAAGGATTTTTTCACTTCTTAAAAATTACATTCCATGATAAAAACCCCTAAAAATACTAGATATATATTGTCATCATTTTCTATCATTAGAATCTTGTATTAAAGGAAAAACGAGTTTGAATTGGGTTAGCCAATTTATAATATTTCTATTCTATTCTATTTCATTGGCAAAGTGTTCTTCATTAGTTCTATGTTATATCCAACTCCTACCATGGTGGCCCTATGCAATGAAATGAAACACTCCTGTGGTATCTTCCTCTCAACTGTCAGTGCGTTGAGATCATCATTGCAGTCATTGTATCCATTGATCTCTTTGAAGGTCTTCTTTATTTTTGTTGAATCTCTAATAGATCATTATCTACATGGATAGATGGATAGATCATTATAGATAAGTAGAAACTAGATACACATACATTCATATGTACATTATACACATTGTTGTTGGTAAATGCCTTGGAGTCAAGTATGACTCATAGCGACCCTATGAACAAAAGGCCTGAAAGCCTTTCTGTAATTACCAATACTTATCAAAGTTCATAGAGTTCCTGGAGGCAGGTTCTTTAGGAAGTGTATGCCACTCATATGTTTATACGTGCATGTTAAGTGTGGCCAATAACAAAATTTCTACCTCACATACACTGTAGAAAGTATAAAAATGTTCAAAAACTGGAATTGGTAAGATTTTAATACTATTATTTATGAATATAAAATTAATAGCTTCTAAAAATTTGCAGATGTTGAAATTGGATTTTTTCCCCCTTATGCTAAAAATGTCTTTACATTGCGGGTATTTGAATCTGTATAACATGGTTCCTCTAAAACGTTTAGAAATATTAAACTTTGAAAGAGAAAACATGTTTTGTCCTCTTTATGTGCCATTGATTATCACTGATTCATAACCTGCTAAACCTGTGTCATCCTTCCAATATCTACTCTGGCCATTGCTGTAATCACAGTGTCAAGCTGTCAAATTGCAATTTCTCTTCTCTGTGACCCCTCCATTTTCCCAGGCATAATGTATTTTTTTTACCTTTTTTTATTTTAGCATTTTTAAAAATTGGTTTGCTTATGAAGGTTGTATTAATTGTGTTTCACATTATTCATTCTCATTGTGTTTTGTACAATCATTCTCATGCATATGTTTTCTAAAATCAATCACCATTGAACCTTGCCCATTACTATCCTGTCTTTTCATAAAGGACTGACCTCTCCTGAATAACATTCCCAAATTGCGTGAGACAACACTTTTGGGAGATGTAGAATAGTAGAATACTGTTTGCAGGTTCAGTTTTAAGTTTTTCTTATGTTTTTTTCTAGTTTCAGATTTCTTTTCAACATTGCTGATAAACTTTACCTGTAAAGATAAATGCAGATGGGAAATTTCAAAGATAAACAATGAGTTTATGAACATTTATGAAAGATACAAAGAATTTAAAAAATTATGCAATAATGAAGAGATAATTTGTGAAGCTCAAGTGTCAGATTATGCATGATACATGGAGATGGTTAGCTTATTATCATGTTACCATGTAGTTTAACAACAATACATAGCCTCAATATACAATAGGCTAAAGAAAGACAGACATTTTAAAAATACCACAGGAATATCAGTGTTAAACTACATTTAAATATTCTGTTCTATAATACATGAGTTGCACAGTATTTATTAGGAACGAGAAATGTGTTGTCATTCATAATATTATGAAACAGAATTGCGAAAATAAGGACAACATTCAAACTTACACCAATGAAAGAATTACTGTGTATGAACAAAACCTCAGGTTTTGAGATTATGAAAATCAAATGTAAAAATCACATAGCTCATCACCAGAAACAGGAAACAGGTACATTCTTAGCAGAAAAACAAAACAATACAAATGAATTGCTTTTTATGGATTTATTAGCAATAACTATAAAATAAGCTTTAACATCATTTTAGAACATATGATTTGTTCTTCTAGGGATTTGGGAAAATCATAAGAAAAATCTCCCGCCGTCTACAAGTGGAAATACAAAAGCCAAGGGAATTGAAAGAAATTGAATCTCTGATTCAACCACTCTTACAGATGAAACATGAAGTAAAAAAAGGAGAAAGTAACACATCATCAGTGATGCAGTTTTTACTGCTGGGATTTTCTGACCTTCCAAATCTCCAAGAGTTTCTATTTGGAGTGTTCTTCATTATTTACATAATTATTATTCTTGGAAATAGTCTCATAATAATGTTAATCAGACTTGATCCTGTGTTACAGAAACCAATGTATTTTTTCCTTGCAAATTTTTCTTTTTTGGAAATCTGTTATGTGTCTGTCATTCTCCCCAGGATGCTGGTGACCGTTTGGACTCAGGATAGAAGTATTTCTTTACTGGAATGTGCCACGCAAATGTGTTTTTTTCTTGTATTTGGGGCCACTGAATGTTTCCTCCTGGCAGTGATGGCTTATGACCGCTATGTGGCCATTTGTAACCCTCTGCACTACCCTCTAGTCATGAATGAAAAGATCTGTGTTAACCTAGCATTTGGCTCTTGGGTTATAGGTATGCCTGTCCAGATTGGGGAAACAGTTCAGATTTTCTCCTTGCAGTTCTGTGACTCTAACCAAATTAACCACTTCTTCTGCGACATCCCTCCTATTATCAAATTGGCCTGTGGGAATACTTTTATTAATGAGATGGTTGTCTATGTAGTAACTATGTTGATTGCTGCAGTCCCTTGTATGTGGATACTCATTTCCTACGGCAAAATAATTTCCACAATTCTGAAGTTGCCCACAGCGTCTGGAAGAGCGAAAGCCTTCTCCACATGTTCTTCCCACCTGCTAGTAGTAGTTTTATTCTTTGGGTCTGCTGCCATCACCTACTTCAGACCCAAATCCAACCACTCTCCTGGAACAGACAGACTCTTCTCCCTTTTCTACACCATTGTGACTCCCATGTTTAATCCCATGATATACAGTCTAAGAAACAAGGATGTTATTGCCTCGTTAAGAAAATTATTTCTCACAAAATAGTGTGAAAATGTAGGAACAGCCTATATAGCTGTAAATAAATGAATGTGGTATATATATATTCAATGGAATTACTTACCAATAAGGAAAAAGTGCCGATATGAACCGATATGAACACAGAACGAACATGGCAAACTTTATGATGCGTTAAATAAGTTGTAATGTATCCTTTATGATTTAACTTACATGAAATCAGTAGATATCTAAAAATCCAGCGATCATTTGATATTATAGAGGAAGGGGAGTTTTATCTCTTAAAGTTCTAAGTTTTATCTTAATAAGAATAATAGGAAAAAATAAATTGATTTTAATGAAAGTTTACAGAGACATTGGAATTCCATTCATTCATTGTTGTACTTTTCTCCCTGCCCATTTCTCTCCTTAATTTGTTTTTCTTTTTGAAAAGTAAAAGAAAAAAATTCTTTCATTGTTATTAAATCCCTCTTCCCAAGTCCACTCCACTATGCAGACTCCTGTCATAATAATGTCTAATCATATATTCCTTTTAAACAGTTCTCCTGTTTCAATGCAGTATACCTTATTTATCCCATTTTTCTCAACTAGCCCCAATCCTTATAATAGAAAAATTCATAAAAGGGTTTTATAAAGTGGAGAATACACCCAAGAGCACTTAATTATGTAAGTAGAAAATTGTCAATTTATGAATGCTTTGTTGTTTTTTGTTTCAGTACATTTTTTTCAAAAGTAGCATGAGAAGATTAATTATCTTTTTTTCCCCCAGTACATGTCAGAAAAAATTTCTAAATTTCTACATTCCTCAGGTGACAAGTTACTCACTTCTAACTATGAATATATTTTTAGATACCTGGCGTAGGTAGATTTTATTATTTTTGGATATATACTCAAAATACGGTCAATAGAGCATGGAAAAGCAACACTGTTGTATAAAAAAGCAAGATTTATGTTACTCTTTTAAAACAAAAACTGTGAAGCAAATTCAAGGTATTGAAGTTGATTTAATTCAAATTGTTATATATTATCAAGATTAGTAATTAAAATTAATCAGTTCACTATATCTGCCTTCTTATGTTTTGGCATTCTTCTGTCACTGTACATCAACAAGAGTAGATAAATTATGATTGTTTGTTAAATGAATGTTTAAAAAGTTAAATGTATAAATTTATATTATCATCCCTTTCTTGACACTTGGGAAAAATCCAGAATTTTTGAGTATTATTGAGCACAGATGGTTTTATCCTAGTCATGTTCTTATAAGAAAACATAGACTTGACTCAAGGTGTCTCAGAAAACAGAATACAACAGAAAACTCTTAACTATTTTCAGCCAGTTTACTTTGAAGATAAAAATATGACCTTCATAATTCCGTATTTCTATACCATCTCTTTCATAATAGTAGTTGAAGCAACTCTTAAGACCGTTATTGTAGAATGAGTATGAGGATTCGGGAAGGTGAAAGCAGAGGGGAGAGGATGAGTGGGGCTTGGTGGGGGGGAAGCCTGGTGTTAATCACAGGGGGAAGGAAATGGGAAATATTTGTGTGAAAAACAATGTATTCAAACTTTGTAATTTAACAAGGATCAAACTTTTTTTACAAGGACAAAATATTAAAATAATTTAGGGAAAAAAACCCCAATTCTGATTTAGAATAAAATGTCTATGATTTTAAAAGGGGAAGAAGGAAATGAGAAACCCAAGATAAGAGTGATGGAAACAATTTTGCAATGTGGTGACCACAAACAACATGGCAGGACTGTAAATGTTAAGCAAGATAACATCTCATCTTTGGAGGGCTCAAATGGCTACTATGTATACTACCAATCAACCAATAAGTTACTAGGCTAACCAAGCCTTCTTAGTGTTATATTTCTGTGCTTAATCTTTGCTGCTTTTTACCTTTATAAAAGTGTCTGAAATTAACCCTTTGACAGAATTTGAGAAATGAAGAGAACATCTCTCAAGGATAGGGTCAATATGCATCTCCCCAATTCCAGAATTTCATTTCAATGATGCACATTGTTGTTGTTGTTATGTGCCATCGAGTCGTTTCCGACTCATAGCGACCCTATGCACAACAGCTCTAAACCCTGCTCTATCCTGCACCAACCGCACCGCCTCTGACACACCCATCCCGATTACCCCAGTCACCGAATCCATCCATCTCATAGAGAGTCTTCACCTCCTGCGCTGTCCCTCCACCCTCCCAAGCATGATGTCCCTCTCCAAGGACCCGTCCCTCCTGGCAACATGTCCAAAGTATGTCAGACGAAGCCCCAGAATCCTTGCCTCCAAGGAGTAGCTTGGTTTAATCCTCTCCAAGATGGATCTGCTTGTTTTCCTGGCAGTCCAGGGTACATTCAGTACCCTTCTCCAGCACCACAGCTCAAAAGCATCCACTCTCCTTCTGTCCTCCCTAGTCATTGTCCAACTCTCTGATGCATAACAAGCGATTGCAAATACCATGACCTGTATCAGGCGCACCTTAGTCTCCAGAGAGACACTGTTGCTCCTGAGTATGTTTGAGAGGTCCCTAACGGCAGACTTTCCCATCGCTATACGCTTTTTGATTTCCTGACTGCTGGTACCAAGAGTGTTGACTGTGGAGCCGAGCAAAGTGAAGCTGTGAACACTCTCAATCTCTTCATCATCCATCCTGACGCTGCCAATTGGTCCAGTGGCGAGAATCTTTGTCTTCTTGACCTTGAGCCTTAGTCCATACTGAAGGCTGCAGTCCTTGACCCTTCGGAGCAAGTGCATGAGGTCCTCCTCAGTTTCAGCAAGCAAACTTAATTTATTTCCCTTAATAATTTCTGCTGGTTTTTTTTAAGATCATGTTATATATTAGTAGTTCTGATTTTATCCATTAAAAAAAAAACAATTTTATAAATATAAAAATCACTTCAAAGTATTTTTTTTAACTTTGTATTAGATATTGCATTAACGCTAATAGATAAAATCAACAATTTGGGTAATTCTGTCATTTATACATATTTTGAGTGAAATTTTACAGAGAATATTGGCTTTCATCCATATCCTGTTTTGTGATGTTGACTGCAATCTCCACATTGCAAAATAATTTCTCTCACCCCCACCTTGTGTTTCTCATTTCCATGCACCCATTCACACTCCCTTCTTGCCTTCTGTATTTGGTCTAGACTAATTCCCTTCCTGGAGAACTTTCTGTAAAAGGTCAAGGACTACAGTCTTTAGTATGGATGGAAGCTCAACATCAAGAAGACAAAGATCCTCACCAAGGGCCCAATTGACAGCACCATGTTAAATGGAAAAGAGCCTGAGGTTTTACATAATTTCAATTTGTTCAGCTCAGCTCCACAATCAACACTCTTGGCACCAGCAGTAAATAAATCAAAAGACTTGGATTTCCATTTATTCATTATTGCACATTTTGCTCCCCCCCCTCTCCAGTCCAGTTTTCTCTTTAAAAAGATTCTTTCATAATTTCACAATTGCCTCCCCTTACCTGTCCACTTTGCTACCTCTTATTCTGGACTGTTGTCATGTTTTAGTTATTTAATTAAAATATAAATAAACTGTCATATTTTTTAAAAAATAACAACAACAGCAAAGAAATCAAAAGACAAATTGCTTTGGGGAAAGCTGATATCAGGGACCTCTCAAAAGTGTTAAAGAGCAATGATGTCATTCTGAAGACTGAAGTATACCTAATTCAGGCCATGTTCTTCATGACCAAAGAAAACCAAAGAATTGATGACATTGAGTTTTGGTGCTAGGGAAGACTATTCAACATATCATGGACTGTCAAGAGAACAAACAGGTTTACTCTGGAAAGAGTAAAACCAGGCTGCTCCATGGAGGCAAATATTTTGAAGTTCTGTCTTACATACTTTGAGCATGTGGCCAAGAGTGATCATTCCCTGGAGAAAGATGTCATGCTTGGAAGGGTGGAGGGATGGTACAGGAGTATAAGACCCTCTATGAGATGGATTGACACAGTAACGGGGCTAATAGGGGTAGTTGTGTTGGAGATAGTGATACTGTCTCATCATAGATCAGAGTTCACAGCTACTGTACAAAATGTCGCTGTGAGTTGCAGGAGACTTGATAGCACATAACAATAACAACAACAATTATTTTCCTATTAATCCTAAACTGTTAATTGTTCAAAGGATCACACACTTCCTCAGTGTTTTTGTTTACCTCTTACATCTATTCATTGTTCAACTAAAAATTGAGCCTGAGGGGAGAATTCCATTCTGGATCGTGACTGTGACGAATGATCATAGGCTCGGTATGCACTTTTTATGGTTTTAAGTTTTGTTCCACACTTCACTTGATGTCTGTCTGAAAACACTCAATGCAATCTCCTTTAGATCAATTGTTATTTGAAGTTAAACAACTTGAAGTTCCTAATCTGAAAATTGTGAAGATTGAGCTTCACGTGACCCAACAGTCCTGAGGACTGGCTCCTTGCATCCACTTGAATTCTATTTTATCTTCTCTGCTCTGGACAGGGAGAGTCCAATAGTTACATCCTAGATAATCTCTCTTAAATTAAAATTGCATTCACTACTATTTTTAATATGTGAGAAAACATTTCCATTGTGTTATATGTTGTGCCAATGACCTTTACGTCTCCAGAAACTATGATCCCGAGCCTCCAGATGCGGAAACTCATTCCTTGAAGACATTAGTAATGACTTCGGAGTTTTCAAATATGAAAATTGGTTTTCACATAAAGTCATGGGACTTTTCAAAGTCCTGAAGAGTAATGATCTTCATCTAAAGAACAAAGAGCACTTGATTTAAGTTATAGTCTTTCCTATCACCTGTTATGAATCTGAGAGCTGGACAATGAATAAGAATTACAGAAGAATCTATCCCTTTGAGCTGTAGTATTGGAGAAAACTACTTAATATCCCATGGATTACCAAAAGAATATATCTATATCTATTTCTATCTCTAGCTCTAGCTCTATCTCTCTATCTCTATCATCTCTATATCTCATCATCATCTATCTATATATATCTGGATATCTATAGATA